GGGGGGAGAAAAAGTATTCACTGATTTAGGCTAAGTACAACCCAGTCAAAGATTATATCAATTCAAGACTATATCAATTCAATTTTCATAGGTTAGTCTGTGCTTCAAAGAGTAAATCAATAAACAAGTGAACAGACATTCACTTCTGATTCTGGAAATTCAGCCACATGCCTGAAGTGGCCCAGGCCAGAAGCTGAGGGGTGGCAGAGCATGCCTTCTTGCTCAGCTGAAGCAGACGACTTGGGCCAAGTCTAGCCAGCCTGTCCTGCAGGGGAGGTGTAAAGCATCCTGGGATGCTGGGGGACTGTGAGATAACTTGAATCTGGAGGGGATCTAGGACAGAAGTTCAATAAACTAATTTAATTTAAATCAGTTAAGTCCGATGATACTACATCCATCCAGGTTTATCTTAAACTGGTTCCAGGCATTTTGAAAGCAGTTTATGGGTGCAAAATGAAGCAACAATTTTTGCTTTATCTGGCCACAGAAAGTGGTCTGTAGCTATGACCAAACACAAGTGCATGGCTGCAGATAGCTTCAAAAATGCCTGAATGGGTGAAAATTTGAACCCTCTTTGTATGAGGGTGCAAAAGAAGATGTTTCAAAACAGATCATTTCTTGTAACTTCTGTCTGCACTGCCTGCCAGCCTGTCACTGTTTTCAGAAGGGGGGGTGGATAAGGAGTGTGTGTGGGGGGGTCAATTTGGGGGCTTTTCAGCCCCTGATGAAGGGTGGAGCAGGTGTACTGGAGCACCCTCTAAGATGAGGAAACTCCAATACATATACCACACCCTCCAGCACAGGCTGGGTAATTCCTAGAATGAGCTCCCTCTATTTCCTTTCCTCACCTCATTCTGAAAAAGGGACAGGCTGGGAGAGAGGAGAGGGTTGTTGCTAGGGAAAACTGGCAGCCAGAAGCTAGATTCCCCTCCCCTCTGGAACCAGTGGCAACACACAGGGGGCTCATGGAGGTGCATGGGCACCTCCTGAGAACACCAGTGCACCCCCTGTCAGGTTTTACTCCCTGTTTAGGCAGTGGGCAGGAGTAAAGGTGGGAGCACTGCTGCCTCCCCGCAGGTGCCAGCTGGGGAGTGGGGCCGCTTCTGGAAGTGGCTGTGGGAATTCCAGAAGAGGCATGGTATGGCTACTTTTTGGTGAGTGCGATTGGCTGCCGGGGTACCCCCCCCCC